GAAAACGGAATGGTTTTACCCCCGGCGGCTGCGGCGAGAGCTGGCAGTAAGTAAATCACTCGCCGTCAGTAACAGAGGCGCTGGTCTTTGGTTGTTCCCTAGCGTACGCCCGGCTTGTTGACACAGCCAAGCACTAACAACAGGAGAAAACAACATCAGGGAGCGCAAAAAAAAAAAAAAAAATTAACTCAAAACATTTTCAAACTGCAGGTTAACATGTGCAGGTCGTCTTAATTGTGTTCCTTATTAAGCACAACGTGTTTTTCAGCAGTCTGAAAGGGTTGGTATGCTGCTAACATCTCTCTCTCTGCTTTTGTTCTAGAAGTACTGCGGATCAGCCTGTCATGGAGGGAACCAGGCAAACCAGGATTTGCCGGCCACACAAGATAAGTGAATCCTCAAAGGTTTGTACGTTTTGTGTGGCCTACCAAAAAAGCAAGTTACAGAAATAACCAGAAGGGGTGTAAAGGCTCTCCTCTGGATGGACTGTTTTGGAGGAATGTAAATATTCTGAGCTTTGAAAAAGAGGTGTGAAAACGGTGGTCTACCTGCTCAAATATTTTTGATAGAAGAAGTTGCTACCTAGCGATTTTTTAAAAAAAAAAAGCAGCAGCAGCAGCAAACAGGCATCTGCTTATCATGACTCATAACTTAAAAAAGAAACCCACATCGTCGCAGCACAGTATTTTCTCAACACCAAAAGTTCAGTCATTAAATGCGATGTGTTTATTTTGGGAATTTTTTGTACTGATCCATCTCATATGGATGGATCATATGAGATCCATCATATATGGATCATACATATCCATATATGATCCAGGCTGGTTACGGAGGAAAGCTGGGATTACTTTTTAGATTTAGTCTTTGTTTTGTACAAGATGGGAGTCTTGATCCCCCAAACAGTAGTTATTCCAGCAAACTCGAGATGTTTTCTTAGGTTCGTGAGGTTAATTTTCTTTGTATAGAATCTCTGTCTGCCCAAATACATTGATTTTAGTTGGGAATCCAGGGAAGTCCATCTTAGGTAGCTCTTTATGCAGGTCATCAGGATGATGGCCTAAGATTTATAAGATGTTAATATCGGCTCTAATTATTACGTTCACTTTGTTTCACACCAGTGAAAACTGCTTTTCTGTCCTAGTGCGCGCACTAGGTTACAGGTGCTGCAGAGCAAGTACCTTGTACTACCAACAACAGCTAGAAGAGAAAAACTTTTCAGTGCCTGTATCCGTCTTGTCAAAGTTGAGTGAGACAGATCGCATTTTCTTTTGCCTCCCTGACGAGTAGTGGTACTGCATTAACAATCTGAAAGAAATTAGATCTCTGAATCCGAAAGAAGTTAAAATACTGCTCTAATACAATGGATAAAAGATAAACAGGACTATTTCTGAAATGCATCCCTACCAATATAATCTTTCCCTGAGTGCTGATCCTGTCTACCATTTAAATGGTTTAGTCTGAATGTAATAATAATTCATCACATTAAAAAGTAATTAACTTGACAGCATTGTTTTATTTTCTTGCTTAGACAGCAGCTGTCGCTATCTGTTAAACTTAGAATTACTAGATAATGCTAGAGCTGTTCTACAGAATATAAATAGCTTGAGAAAGATGTTCATGTTTAGTATAAAATTAGTCTTGGTTTTGAAATGTGCAGCTATCAGCTTCTGTTATTTGCTCACTGAACGAATGAAACTTGCTAAGTGGCTGAAATACGTTAATGTATTCTGAGTCCATCCAATGCCATGCGTAATGATTTTCTGCTTGATTCCTGAAGTAGCAGCAGTTCTACATGGCAACAAGGATTTTAGGAGTGCAAGTTGTCAGGCGTATTTGCGGTCAGGATTATGCTGCTGACTGGACAGCCAGCTAAGCAAATAGGGATGTCTGGCAAATCTTACATTCTGGTGTAATCTGGTTATGCGCGATGGCGGTATTGGAGAACGTCAGAGAGAAATGATCAGCCAGTCTACAGAGACGAGAGGGAGTATGGTTTTGGCTTAATCCAGTAACTGTCCCCCATGAGTCAGATTCAGAAGAAGGTGCTGTAAGATGTTAGTTACTGTCTGTTCAGCCACTATCCTTTATCATAGTTGCCACAAATGTGTGGTTTGTCCTTTGCCGTATTTATTCTTCTTCCCACCTCTTCCCTCCCCTGGCCTCTGCTTGGGCTCCTGTATGATACCAGCATTTCTCAACCTCAGAAAAATGAAGATAAAAAAATTTACAGTCCTTAAACCCCATATTTTTTTTCTGTTACAGATCTCTGGCAGTTTTATTCCTCAGTGGAAGTTACTTTGTTGTCTATGCCATAGATCCCTTTTTAAGTTCAGAGATACAATGAGGCAATGGGCGTAAGGCAAATTAAAGAGTTTTGGCCCAGAAAACTTACAATTATTGAAGCCTCTTCACTTAGATTGGTTTAACTCTGTACACTTGCATGTACAAAGTTACTCCAGCAGAAGGCTTTTGTGCAGCTTAGTCTCCATTGTTTAGAAAAGAGCGTAAGCAGAACTAAAGAGAAGCCACTGGGATATCACGCTAAGAGCAGCACGTTTGGTTATTAATTTGGGTCTCATCGTTGGCGGACTGCCTGTCGCTATACCACCGACTGCTAAAAGGCAGACGTGGGAGGTCAGGCTCCCCAGGTTGGCGTTAGCTCAGGATGATTGGCTGCCATCACGTCTGGACAGTGGTGACCTGCGTGCGTTAATCCTGATTATCTCTATATTATATATAATATATATATTATATATATAATATATAATATATATTATGTATACAAGTACAATTACCAAATTACGTGCAGAGAGGGCATATCCTGGAGTGAGGGTCGCGTGCAGGGGAAAAAACTTGGCTCTAGGACTTGAACCTTTCCCATCCAGGTGGGTAGAGAGGTTGTCTCACCATGATTTAACCAACCCGTTAATGGCTTAGCCAGACAGCAATAATCATGTGCTTTCTGTTTGGGAAACCAGGAAAGCCACGGATAGTTAGGATTTCTAGAAGCAACGGTTTGGTGAAGGAACGGTTGAATGCCTGAGAGGCTTGAAGAGACCTCAGGTCATCTGTGTGGCTGTTTCAATGTAGATATGGACCGAGACACCTTTTCAGGGTGTCGCTTCTGGGAATGCAGTCTGAGGGTGTAGAACTGGACAAGACCCAGGGTCCTACAGCCAGAACTGTTCAGAGCTAACTTAGGTACGATACAAAAATGTGCTTCCTTTCCACCTCCTTTCATTTCTCTTACATGTTCTTACAGGCTTTGCAACTCTGCCTGTTTTGGATTTGGTAATTAAAGTTAGGTATTTGCATTTAACTTAACCTGGCTTTTATTAAGAGAGATCACAAGGTAACTGACTGTACCATCAAGCATTCCACTCCTCCAGAAGGATGGTCCTAAAAGCTGCATCGCTTGACATACTGGGGTGACCAGCCCCTTCAATACGTGTTCTGCAGGACATTCAAGGGGTAACAAAACGTTTCCATTTTGGTTCTTCTTAAGACTGGTAACGCAAGTCTGTGAGAAAGAGGTGAACACTGGTTGCCTCAAAAGCTCTGTGGCACGTACAGAGCTGGTGGGAAGAATGTCTGGACCAGAGGGATCCCAGAAGGACACTTAATGGACATGTTCCAAGGGCATTTTCCCCTTTCTTTAGAAGAAAAATATTTAGTCGTATTCATTAAAACAAAAACTACCTCGGCTTCTGGAAGCAAGTGGAAGTCTTATGGGAATAAGTGATCCATATGTGTGGCTTTGCACATAAATAAACAGCTATTATTTTTGAATGCAGTGTGTGTGCCTGGAATAATATGGAAAGAAAGAGAGGGATTTTACCCTAACGAGCTTAGAAATGCAGAGTTCTGAAAAGATTTAAGAGGGGGTAGCTGTCAAGTAAGCACTAACCCAAACAATACATGGGCTGAATGAAAATTTGGCATACTGCTGCATGTGTGTCTCCCACTACAAATATTTAGCGAGTAGCTTAGTTGAGAAGAGCTCTGTAGGGAGTCATCTGGGGGACAAGTAAGAAAGGAAATGTCAGCAAGATGTCTCGAAGACAATGAGTGGAAGAGTTTCAGAAAATTGTGCCTGTATAAATCATCAGGGAGGAGGTTTGGATGCAGCATTGTGGAGGAGGTAGGAGTAAATTATAAAAAAAAAAGGGGAGTAGGAAGCAGTAAAAGTCTGCATAGGCCTTTCAAAGTGAAGGTGGGGAGCTTGGGCTCATACTACGTTGCTTGCCAACTGTTTCAAGTCAGAATTTGTTACGCATGTGCAACACAAGTAAGCTTTCTCTCTCTCGTGTATGACTACATCGAATGGGAAAACACTCTGTGCACACTGAAATTTATCTTGGTGAAGATAACATCTGCCTGACAGTGTTTGTTTATTACAGGTGTACAGGTGGGATGACCACTCTAGTCTAGTTCTTCAGAGCCTGAATGAGCAGAGGCACCGAGGTCTCTTCTGTGACATCGTCCTCGTGGTGGACGAACAGAGAGTCCCTGCCCATCGGAACCTCCTCGCTGTTTGCAGTGACTACTTCAATTCTATGTTCACCATCGGTATGCGAGAAGCCCACCAAAAAGAGGTTGAGCTTTTTGGAGCCTCTTATATTGGTCTCAAGGCTGTGGTGGATTTCCTTTATGGCAGTGAGCTATCTTTAGATGGAGGCAATATCGACTATGTGCTCGAAACAGCTCACCTGCTGCAGATCTGGAAGGTGGTCGACTTCTGTTGCGAGTATCTGGAGAATGAAGTCAGCGAGGAGAACTATTTGTACCTGCAAGAGCTAGCCTCCATTTACAACCTGAAGCGCCTTGACTCCTACATTGATTCTTTCATCTTGCAGAACTTCGGCACGCTGTCTTTCACCCCGGACTTCCTGCAGAACATTTCCTTGCAGAAGTTGTGCCAATACCTGGACAGCAGCAACGTGCAGCAGGAGTGTGAGCACGACTTGCTGCAGGCTGCCTTGCAGTGGCTTACCCAGTACCCGGAAAGGGAGAATGAGGCTTACCAGGTTCTGGATAACATTCATTTTCCCTTGATACCCAAAAGTGATCTCCTCCATCGAGTCAAGCCTGCTGTCTGCTCTCTTCTTCCCAAAGAAGCAAACTGTGAGGGCTTTATAGAGGAGGCGGTGAACTATCACAATAACGTCACGGCTCAGCCAGTGCTGCAAAACAAACGGACAGCCCTGCGGACCTGCGAGGAAAGGCTCCTCTTTGTGGGTGGGGAGGTTTCCGAACGGTGCCTGGAACTGAGTGATGATACCTGCTTCTTGGACATCAGAAAGGGGCAGTGGGTAGCCGAAACCCCTCTCCCAGCCAGACGAAGTCACCACTGCGTTGCAGTCTTGGGAGGCTTTATCTTCATAGCCGGAGGCAGCTTTTCAAGAGACAATGGAGGGGATGCAGCTTCAAATCTCCTATATAGGTATGATCCCCGCTGTAACCAGTGGATAAAGGTGAGACTTAAGCTGTATTATTTCTCTGTTTAAAGTCCTTAACGTTTAGAGTGTTTTCTTCTTTTTGGTGGAAGGACAGGGCTGATTAGAATAGCCAACGTAGCAACGCTTGCAAATGGAAATTCAAGTTACTTAAGTTGAAAAAGCAGCTACTTGAATCCTTTGTGGGAGTGCTTAAGTGACACACACAGCGAAAGAGTTTGGGGCAGATTTTCAACTTCGCTTGGGATTTGGGCATCTCATCTGTGAAATTCCTGGTCAGCATCCACCTGCAACTCTTTAGATTACTTTTGGGAATAATGCTAGAATGGACTTACAGAGGTGATTGCTTAGTTCATCTTTCTCAAGCAGTAGCACATATAACTAAATCAAAAATGGCTCTGATGTAAAAAGGAAATGTCTCTGACGCTTGTCAAATGTCTCTGTGCTAAATGTCTCTTAGAACAAGCTATTCACTTCCAGTCGTGCTGTAAAACCCTGCGGCCAGTCCAGGTTCCTCTATGAACCAGTCGTCCTGTGCGGTTCAGTTGTGGTTTTGAGTGATTCCAATATATGTTTCTTGCAGAGTTTTGGAAGGAGGCCCACGTAACACAAACATTTCTAGGGTAACCTGTCTCTTAGATGCTTCCTGTGGTCCCCTTTTTTGAAAATGAATGCTATGGAACATGCTACTGCAGAAAAAGAAAAGTATTTTATGAATGTAGTGGTCAAAACCAATAGCTCTCCTTTCCAAATAAGTGGGAAGAAGCAACTATCCTATCCTCAGACATGAATATACCTTAAGTCAGCTTGCTTACCAGATGTTGGAAGATGTCAGCATGTTATTTTTTTTGACAGGTTGCCTCCATGAGACAACGCCGTGTAGATTTCTACCTGGGAGCTATTACCGACATGCTGGTAGCCGTTGGTGGCAGGAATGAAAATGGGGCACTTTCTTCAGTTGAGACCTACAGTCCTCAGAAGGATTCATGGTCCTACATAGCAGGCTTGCCCAGGTAACAGAGATGTTTGGAAAGCTATCCTGTGTTTGAAGAACGGTAGTAAAGGGAGCTTGTGTGACTTTAGCTGATGAATGGGTATCCCTGGGAGGGAGGCAAGGGGATATATAACCAACATGGTATCAGCAAGTAACAAACCATATCAGCATTTGGTATTTGAGCAACCATCTCGTCCAGGCCGCGTGCCTCATGTCAACTTGATTGGTTTTAATTTTCGTCCTGAGGTACGTCTGAAGGATGGGAGGGAGAGCTCTTGTAATTTTGCTCTACGTTTCTTAAAATATTTTTCCTAAGGTCACTTGGAGTTGAATCTTTTCAGAGGCACTGGTTAGCTCTTGATCAAAGGCTTTTATAATTTATTGGGCCTTCCTTTGTCACCTTGGTGTGATTGTTTTCCTTGTAAGGTGTTTCTCTCTGGTTGGCTGTTTGCGATAAACCACGTTTACCTCTATTGCAAATAGATAACCCCGGCGAATGTGACCTCTCTTTCTCTCAGTCTGAGTTAAAACTTAGCTGCTCTACTTTTGAGAGGCTTTAGTACTGCAGCTCTTCTTGTAACAGCAGCACAGGACATTGCTAGTATTTTGAATCAACGTTTGAGTGGTGACTTCATAAGAATGGTACGATAGCATTTCATTTGCAAACAGCTATTCAGATTTAGTAATATTCATGGAAATTGCAGGAGTATTGGCTATACAGATGGTATTTTCACGATGCCTGAAACCTGCAACTTCAGCAGCAGTGCCCGCTTTCTTAGCGGCATCACGAACAAGATACTTGCAATTTGATTTTAGAGTTCAGGGTTTTTTTCCCTTATTCCCTTAGCTGCAGAGCTGCAGAGCCATAGGCAGCCAGTGACGGCACAGAAGCCTGTTGCCCAATTCTATTTTGGGTAGGTGCTGCAATGCGAGTCTGATCCAGGCTAACAGCTGGGCTCGAGCGCTCTTCAGAAGCAGGATGCTTTTTTCCCGTTTTATTTCTGCTCACGTAGACAGATCTAGCAGTTGAGGCTAAACACCACAATCTTGCTGGGAAGCTGTGTGTGAGTATCTTCAGTGCCGAAGGCCTTCTGTTAGTCGGGGTGACCTGTGAGATCCCAGGAACATAGGAACATCTCACAGAAATTGCAGCACAGCTTTTCTTTTTCTCTTTTTTTTTTTTTTTTTTTTTTTTTTTTTAAAAAACCATTTTTCAAAGAAATGTAGATGTGACCTGACTGCCTTCTATGTTGTTAGAAAAACACTCACCTTAGAACCGGTATGGATGGTTTTTTCCCAGCTTATCAGTGGTCCTGGGAAAGCTTGCAGGCTGTAAGCTGTCCGAAAAGGGGCAGTTTTTCTGCATGTTCCTACTGCTACCTGTGTGTTGGCTTTGGGACTTTTGCAGCTGCAGCATTTAAAAGTGAACTTTGACGTGGGGGCTGTTAATTTTTTATTAGATTGCCTAGCTGATCCGCTTGGCCTAGGCAAAAGTCCCCCTTATGGGATAGACCCCACTTACACTGACTTAGCTGGTTGCTAAACTGCAGGGTTAGGCTGTAGTACAGCGACTATTTTAAGTTATTGCTGCATCCCCCCAAAAATAGTTCTGCATCCTCTCTTCCTGCCTGCTCTGCCCTCGTCCCGTGCTAACTGTCCCTTGTGCCAGCTCAGGTGTTTGTGCAGCTGCGTAGTGAACTCAATAGTTTCCCACTTTTCCACGTAGCTGCTCTCTTGCATGTTAATATGTCTTTAGTTAGATCTTAATGGACCCTTAGTACCTCCCGATTTTCTGTCTTTTCAGCCCTCTTTCTCCTTTTGGAGAACTCTTGCATCGGGCAGTACGTTGTTTGCAAGAACCGTTTTTCTGCGCAGAAGGAATAAAGTTAAAAGGACTTTATGCAGGTTGCAAAAGGCAAAAATCAGCGCAGAGGTGGACAACAGAGAGAACCCTTCTGAATGCGGGGGCAAGCGAGTGCTGCTTGAGCTCAGCGAGATGTGGCTCTGGCAGGTGTGGGTGGCTGCTGGAAGGGATCTGGGCAGGCCTTTCCTGATGTACTTCAGATGGATTTGCTGACAGCAGAGGAAGGATGAGAGAGAATTTTGTGACCTATTCAAGACTAGAAGAAAGCATGCTAGCTACAGTTCCTTCTGTGTGCTCCTAACTTCCCTCCAGCATGCTCTTGATCTGATCTCCGTTTTCCTCCTTACCACATGCTTTTGTTCCTCAGCCTGATCTTAGTTACTGGTTTTACCCAAATAACATCTGCCCCAGCCCTATTCTAGCAGCAAGTCTTTTCTCCTCGTGTAGAGGAAATCAGAAGCTCCAATCCTCTGCTTCCTGATGGCCTGATCAGGCAACATGTCCCAACATAGCTGCCTTGTTTCCTGCATTTTTCTGTCTTCTTCCTTCTGAAGAGAAAATGTGCAGGTTTTTTGTCCTCTTGGGTGCACAGCCACCAGAAGCAGGCTCCCTGCCCGCAGCGCTGGTGCTGTCTCTGACTGCTCTGAGCCAGCAGCTGCCTGGAAGACTATTCCCTGGAGTGGTAGGCACGTGTGGAGGTCATTCTGGGATGTAGGCTTGCGTAGTTCGATTTGAGCTGTGTGGGGCTGGACTCCCAGAGGTTATATTTGTTACAGCTTCTACTCTGAACATGCAGAAAATGGTTGTGTTTTTTTTTTTCTCTTCCCAAGGGTTACAGCTTGCCATGCGTGTGGAGATTTTCAGGGGAAAGGCAATGGCTGCATCCTTGAATGCACATGCCTCCTGTCTGCTGCCAAATCCTGCGTCCACGTTGCTGTACACAGGCACAGTCATGCTCCTCTAAGGAAGAGCTTTGCAAGCTCTTTTTTATCTCTTCTTCCCCCCGCCCCCTTCCCACCCCAACATGGTCAAAACAACACGTTGTTTTCCCTAACCACTTTCTTGGAAGGAGCTGAGCTGTTTTGGCTGAAATAATGCTGTCTTACCGAGGAAGAAAACACAGTCTCTTGAGGCAGATGCTTAATGTGGAAAACTTCAGCCAAGCTATCTAAAGGGTGGACCTGGTCCAAGTTTGCTACAAGTGAATTTTGCCTGGCTCTCATTAGGGTCCTTGGTTGTGGAATACCTTTCCCATTCTTCAGAGAGGTCCTATTTTTTTTTTTTCCCACCATTTTCCCAGGCTCTTTGGGAGCAGTTGCTGCCATAGTTTCTAGCCTGGAGGGGAGCAGCGGTGGCTGACAACCTTGGCAGAGCAGAAGTTAGTGCAATGTGTTCTCATCTTGAACAGACCACGAAAAAGTCTGCTGCAGACATCAGTGAAATTAATTGAGTAGCCCTAGGTTAAAGTTTGGCAGAACAACTGAAAGCAGTTGTATGAGGAAATGTGTTGGAACAGGTTAACAAACGATGGTATCTGCTCTGCTCGTTGTGTCATGAATAATCTCGCAGGGTTGCAACAGGTGGACACCGAGATTCGGAGCAACCACAGCTCGCCTGGACTTTGGCTGGAGTAGGGGATTGCCAAAGCTTTATCGAGTTAGGCCAAGTGTTCTTCTGTTTAAGAAAATAAATGGTAGATTTTCTAGCATTTACTGAATGGTGTTACTGTGTCAGAAACTGTAATTTTTGCAGCATTGTATCTAGGTAAGTCATTCAAAATTGGCAGCTGGCTTTAGCAAATGTTCTGAATCGAAACTTCTTTCTCCTTAATGCCTCTATCTTTTTCTGGCCACTCTTACAGATAACGCTGCCAAAACGCTTGGTGCTTTCTGTTGGAGGATGTCTGGACCCACTGTATCGAAGTGTCCTGTTCTGTTGCACATTTAGAAATGCCCCTGTTTAAACCACAGGGCTTGCAGAAAGGATTCTTACTGATTTGTTTTCAATTTGTGCATTATATTTCATGCAGTTTTCTATTAATGCGAAGCAGGGTACGTGCAATTCTGGATGAGCTGTTCAGAAGTCAGGCAAAGTGAAACACCTCTAGCGTATTTCAACGGGTAATCTCCCTATATTGGAAAATAACAAATTGACGGTCGATTTGATGCTTCCAATATGATTGCCTCTTTCAAATTACTCTTGCAGCTATTGCTGTTCACTGGACATACCCATTGATTGAGGCAAAAAGAAAAGCATCAGTGTTTTTTCTGGAGCTGTCTATGCTAGACTGCTTGCATGTGCTTGAGAGAAAATGTCTATTGCTTGCTCACCTGTAGAGAATTCCACTTTTCAGTTAGGATAGGAAAACATTTAGCCTACTTCTCCAAAGGTCACTCAAATTTTTCTTAACTTACGGTTTTTTTTTTTTTCCCAAATGCTGAATGTAATGTGATTGCTGTCAGCAGTACAATAACCCTGGGCTTTGTGTTGGATTCAATGTCATCGCACTCTTCTCCTTCTGACTCCTCAGAACTATCTGTTATCTGACACTGCACGTCCTCCAGGTAGCTTGCTGGTTAGATGTGGGTTTAAAAATCTAGTGCAGTCTGAGAAAGGAAATGGATTCAAGTTGTCCATCCCACTTCCCAGACAGGTAGTCTACTTTTTAAGACCCATTCCTGTGTATATCGAGAAGCAAAGACTCTAGCAACTAGACTGGGTGCCGCTGGAGGCATAGGCTCCCAGTTCCTGTCCGTAAGAGACCACAAACAAGGCAGAGCAGCATCTATGTACACTACACCTGCCACAGCATTTCTGGCAGGTGCGAAAGCTGGAGTGCATGTGCTCAGGATATTTCAGGTCATCAGAAGCACCGAGCATGAGTTATGGGCTTCCATGGTTAGGCAGATTGTGAGCTGTGGAATTTTTGAGTTGCCTTTTTGGATAAAGTCTCATAACTATGCCCCACAGCATTTCTGGCAGGTGCGAAAGCTGGAGTGCATGTGCTCAGGATATTTCAGGTCAAACAGAAGCACCGAGCATGAGTTATGTGCTTCCATGGTTAGGCAGATTGCGAGCTTTATCCAAAAAGGATAAAGTCTCAAAACTATGCCTTAGTCCTCTCTTCTTTTCTTTCTTCCTTCTTCCTGAGTGGCTAAGAAGCAGTACAGTTCTGAAGTCATCTCTGCAAGGTCTCCAGGGATGGTGCTCCAGCCCCTGTAGTTGAAGGGTCTGTCCTGGTCGCTCAGCATTCTTAGGCCAAGTGCGTCAAGGATTTTTCTGTTTCTTGTAGCAGGAGCCTGTTAAAATACCCGATTCAGACAGTGGTCAGGGATGAGAAGCTTCGGTAGGCATCTAGAATAATAAGGATCTTTTAGCTTTTCTCAGAAGTGTTGTGCTTTCAGGGTAAATGTGGGTTTTCTTTTCTATTCCACCTTTTCCCTTGGCACAAAAGTGCTTGGCACTTAGGTGTGTGGAAGAAGTTATGATACCATTTGTGTAGCTGAGAGAAACTATTACCATGCGAAATAAAAACAGCTCAAGGTTCTATCCACAGTGAGTTTCCAGCGTGTTCAGGCATGGTTCAAAAGCATTCCAGGCTAAAGTAATGCTAACGTAGGTTTGTCTGCCATAGAGGTCGAGTTGTCTTGAGTCCTTGACTACAAAGGATGGTAGTAGAGGCTCGTGAGTGCAGCATGATGAGCAGCCCTATGGGTATTAAATTGTTTGGGCTCTTTGTACCGGTGTGGGAGCCAGTTTGCTGTGGCTGGTGCTGCAGCTACATCTTTTGACACCCCCCACACCTGAAAAAAGAAAAAAAGGCATGTGCAGGAAGGGTGTGTTCAAAGAAGCCGAAGCTGTCCCTCACCTTAGCATTGCAATTCTAAGAGCTCAAAAGGGTTTGGTCAGGAATATCCTAGTGTGAAGTTGAGAACAGCCTCGAATCAGGTTTGTAGTGGCTTTATTATAGCTGATCAAAGGGGTTTTCTCTCTGTCCTGTGGAAACAGCATGTGTGATGTTGGTTGTACCATCTCGTTTTGTCTTGTTTCAAACGTGGACTCTGATCTATGATTGACTGAGGTCTGTTGCCTCGTCTTGGGGTGACCAAAGAAGTTACCACCTGTATAGCAGAGGGCGGTAGAGCAGATGGATAGCTCCTGAAAAGGAGACTACGTGTATCGTGACTGCAGATAAACTGGGCCGTGAACACTAGCGGGTAAGAAATGTGGTTCATAATCCTGAAGCTGTGGAAGGGGAAGGCAGCGGTAGGTTTTTTTCTTGGTTTTTCTTGGTTAATCGCTGCTGGTAAGTCTGAGAGGTATCATGATTATTTCCTCTTTCTGTCATAGAAACCCTTGCTGAGATGTGGATTTTTTCCTCTCTGGCCCTCTCAGACTGATCCAACCCAAGCACTGGAGCAGGAAAATGGGAGTGAAGGCCATGCCAACTAGAGCAGGATGGGTTACTTCTGTTGTATGACACACTGTAGAGGATGCCTTAAAAAGTGATTGTCATACCTTAGCTCTCTGTAGCGACCAGGTATGAAAAGGATGCCTTAAAAAGTGATTGTCGTACCTTAGCGCTCTGCAGCGCAGGGTGAAGCAGTATGAATAAGAATAGTTACCGGGTAACTAACAGGATTAGGGATTCTTCTGTCTTTAGTTACTGCTTATTTTCTTCTTTAGCACCAGTCCTTGTTGAATGCTTGTGTATCTTGATAAAATCCCTAAGTACTAAGTCGGATCGTTTTTGTTTGCCTGTCCTAGGTTTACCTACGGCCATGCTGGAACAGTCTACAAGGAATTTGTGTACATTTCAGGAGGCCATGATTACCAGATCGGCCCCTATAGAAAAAACCTGCTGTGTTACGATTACCGCACGGATGTTTGGGAGGAGAAGAGGCCAATGATCACTGCCCGAGGGTGGCACAGCATGTGCACCTTACAGGACAGTATCTACTCCATCGGCGGCAGCGATGACAACATAGAAACCATGGCTCGTTTTGACATTCTGAGTGTGGAGTCGTACAGCCCTCAGTGTAACCAGTGGACCAGAGTTGCTCCTCTGTTGCAAGCAAACAGTGAGTCAGGGGTGGCGGTTTGGGAAGGCAAGATTTATATCCTCGGAGGCTACAGCTGGGAAGAAACAGTCTTCTCCAAAACAGTCCAGGTTTATGATAAGGAGAAAAACAAGTGGTACAAAGGAACTGACTTACCCAAAGCAATTGCTGGTGTGTCTGCATGTGTCTGTGCATTGAAACCCAAAACAGAGGACAAAAAGAAAAAGACGAAAACAAAAAAACATCAAGATCGAGGAAGATGACTACTTCTGGATAACCACCCTTTGACGGTGGACTCCAAAAGGACCTTGTATTTAATCATTTCTATCTAACCTTGATTCTTTCTTTTTCTTTTTAAATGGGGGGGGGGAAGGCATCTTCTGAAGCCTCAGAAAATGTACAGTTGAATGTGGTTTTTGGATTAAGCTCATGTTTAAGGTAAAAACAACAAAAGAAACCAAAAAAAACCACCCTCCTACTATATAAGGGGTGATATGGCAAAAGAGGTTATGCTGCTCTCCTGAATATTAAGGCTTAGTCTTTTACTTCTGTGGTTCATGGCATTTCCGCATACATCATATTAAATCGACGTTTTTAAAATAAGGTTAAGAATCTGTGGCTGAGATGATAATGTCAAGGGGGAGGAGGCAGAGTAGTAGGTGTCTGGTTTGAAGTTACAGAGCAGTTCCAAGGAGTTCAGGAGCAACTGCTAAGAAAAACTGAAGTGGATCTTCAATGTAAATCTTGAATTTTTGTAATGTTAAATTTCATTTACAACACATTCTTGAGTTGTTAGTATCAGATTTCTGGAACATGAGTGTTCAAAGAGAATATTGCTTTTGGTGAATGCAGGTCAGATCAGCTTGAAGAGCAAATAACTCCACTGTACTCTTAAGGTTAAGAAGACCTTACTGTGAGGCTAAAGAACAGATGGGATTGACTTGGGCTTGGACTGACAGCATTGTGAATTTTGAAATCTGGGAAAGGTGAGATGACTTTGCATCCCTTGTTGTGGCACTTTTCATATCTAAACACAATAGCAAGTTTTTCTTGGGCTTTAAAACGTGCCCCAGAATGAGGAAAAAGATCTGTCGAAGAACTTGAAAGATTTGAGGATTTGTGTGGAAACTGTACAGTTTGCCTTGGGCTTCGAAGCAGATGGAACTGATAGAGCTCACTGTGAGTTTGGGGTTTGCTGAATAGGGCAACGGCGGGGAGAAATGGCAGGAGGATCCTTCAGGTGAACTTGAAGCAAGATGTCCCTCCCCAGCCCTACCAGGCTGTAGAGGCTGGGATCCACTTCATTTAACTCAAGCCTCACAGCGGTCACGGCTAGTGGCCAGTGTGAGCAGGGGCCCAGACTAGACTTGTCTGCTCTCAAAAAGCTTATTAACTGAGGATGGTTAATTGGGGTTCGGTAATCCTGAAGAACAGCAACTTGTTTTTTTACCTGAGCTAATAGCTCATGCTTTCTACCAGGCTGTAGAGGCTGGGATCCACTTCATTTAACTCAAGCCTCACAGCGGTCACGGCTAGTGGCCAGTGTGAGCAGGGGCCCAGACTAGACTTGTCTGCTCTCAAAAAGCTTATTAACTGAGGATGGTTAATTGGGGTTCGGTAATCCTGAAGAACAGCAACTTGTTTTTTTACCTGAGCTAATAGCTCATGCTTTCCTCTTTTTTTCTTTCTTCTTTTTTTTTTTTTCCCCCCCTCAAGTCCAAAATGTCTTTTCATGAGAGTAGCCTTTTACGGGTTTGG